ATACATAACATTGTAAGGTAAACAATATACATAATAAAGTACACAGTTAAAACTATAAAATTTGAAACCGTGACATCGTATACTGTAAACTATTAAATGATGAAGTACAATAAGTGCACCGTTAAAAAAATAAGAATGAAAAATTATTTACTGTAGAATCGTAAACTATGGAATGATTCACAGAAATAACAAGATAATAGCCGCCATTTACCTGTTGATCTAAACACTCCCCCTTCCCCCTCTTGGTCAAATATGGATAAAAAGTTTCATGTAATTTTTTACCAACATTATTATTCATCATTCTATTTTTGTTTTCAAGTATTTCTAGATGTTCACACCATCTCCTTTTTTGTATATTAGATTCACTTTTAACAATTTTTATGGTCTCCTTGATAATTTGGCAACCTCCATTATTACACTGTTTGACGTTCACGTTTCAGAGATGAAAACTTCGGCCACAACCTCTCTGTTATTATCATTATCATGTATGTTTAACTTACTATTAACACTAAGAATTTTTTCTGCCACTAAAATTATACCATAATTGTGTGATTTAGATTTGACTCCTTCAAAAATGTTTTGTTCGTATGGAATTTTAAAAAACTTTTGAGTGGTGGTATTAGTTTTATGTTTGTGTTTATTAGTCTCTCTGCTATTGATCCAATTGTTGATTATGCGTTTACTGTAAACATTCATTAAAAACATTTTTATTACATCTTGTATCTCAGTACTTCTATCTGTGTCATTAGTGGTACAATGTAAGATTTTGTCCATGTACATGTAAAAGATGTTTTTCTTAATGTAAGTGGGTACTTCAGAAGTGTAATGCATGACAATGTCAAAGGTGCATAGTTTTTTGTATTTATTAAAGGTGGTTTTGTTATTAAATCTCGTGACAAGGATGTCTAGAAAAGGTAACTAGAAGTTATTTTCAGGTTCTAAATCAACTTTTATATTTGGGTCTATTTCATTAACAAGTTTTAGAATCTGGTTAGTATTTATAATGTGACTATCGTAAACAATGAAGCAGGTCATCTACATAGTGTTGAAGATCTATAATGCCCATAATGTTTGCGACTTTCTTATCAATTTCACATATGCTAAGATCAGCTAAAATAGGATCTATTGCCGACACCATTGGGATGCCATATTTTTGCCTATAGAACTTATTATAGTTAATAAAGTATTTGTTTTCAAATACAAGGATTATCATGTATACGATCCATTGGTTACAGTTATAAGTATTCAAAGTTTCTAAAATTCTGTTATGCTTTATCGACGGATACATGTTGAGAATGTCAAGGGAGGCCAGTCTATAACTTGGCTTAAACTCTATAATTTTTAATTTTCGTGTGAAACAATCGGTATTTTTAATACTGTGGTGAGATTTCTCTAAAGCATTTAATTTCTCCTTTAAAAATAATTCGAGATTGTAAAATATATAGCCTTTTATATTTACTGAAGGTCTATAAGTAATGGGGTCTTTGTGAGTTTTGACTCTGTAAGAAAACTTCGGTATTCTGTTTTCACCTCTTAAGATAAAATGTTTTTCAGTCCTGTCAATAATATTTTGCTTTTCAAGTTTATCAAGGGTGGTTTTTAATTTTTTATTAATTTTATGGATACACTTTGCTTGTATTGGTGTATTAATAAAAGACAATAAAGAACTGTAAGTAATTTTATACATCTTAAATATCATTGTTGGATATAATGTTTCTATTTTTAAAAATTTCATTTTTTTTCTTGTCCCTTTGCCAATGTAATACAGTAGAGCGTCGTTTATCCGAATAAATTGGGAACTGGGGTTGTTCGGATAACTTATTTTTCGGATAACCGATTATGCACGAAAAAATATATTAACCTATCCCGTGTTGAAATTTTTCTCCGTTGCGTGTCGCTTCGCGTTGAATTTTCGTCGATGTTAAGCCTAACGTAAACTTTTTAAAATAATAATCGTTGCTATTGTATTGTTAAAAATGATTTCTTTATGTTTTACAAACGAAAACAAATAAAAATTATACTTTAGGCCGACTGGAATTCTTTCGGATAACCGACGTTTCGGATAAACGACTTTCGGATAAACGACGCTCTACTGTATTTTTAATTAATATGTTAAGTCATTTTGTTTCACAATGGCCTACCAGCGTTAGAGTGCATAAACCACCAAACACTAGTGCCTCGCTAGTAGGATAGCCATGTGGAGTTTTTGAATTTCCTTCACGTGTTTACCACTTAAATGGAGACCAATATCCCACAGAAACTTCTCCCGGAAGGCACTGTTTCTTGACTGATCGCTCAGGTATTGAATTGCCTTATTACGTGAAATTAAACTTTATTTGATGCTTTAATTAATATCACTTATTTAATTTACAACTTTATTCGTGTTTAAAAAATTTAATTTTTTTCTAAAATGTTTCATAATGAATTTATTATTTCAAGCAATTATTCATTTTACAAATTTTTATTTTCATAGTAGTTTCTTATATGAAAAGGAGAGTGACGAACACGACCAGGATATACATACATCTTAGCTTTGCTAATTTTATCAGAAGTTACATCATAAATGTGATCAAATTCTCTGTTTCTTCCTTAATGCTGGGCTTGACTTATACTTAATGCTGCAAGGATAAGTAAAATTGTGAATTTCTCAATTATTTCTTTCGCTATGACTAAATCGGATGACTGCAGAGAGTTTTTATATATTCAGTTATCGTAATCATAAATGCTTACCAGTAATTGAATACAAAATTATTACGTATAAGAATATTTTTCTTGGAAGCAATCTGCAATTTTAAGTGATCGGATAAATATGAAATTTATATTAATTTTATATAAAAATAATTTTTTTATATTAAAATTTCAGATATTATAAATATAATCTTTGTATATTGAAGAAAATTGAATATATTTTAATCAAAATGAAATTTTATATACATTTCACCGTTATAGATTGTGTATTTGTAGAAATTATTTTTCTTTGTTATAAATAAATACTTAATATATTAAAGGAAAAAGCACGTTATAAACCAGGCTTGGCGAATCTTTAACTCCTCCTGTTATTTACCAATAGTAGTCATAATTATGTTTCAAAATATTTATACTAAAATTTTAATATTAAAACAATACTTTTAACAAAAAAATTGAAAATAATAAGCTGCACATAAATCATAAAAATCTAAAATTAAGATAATTTTTATATTCATATAGTGATATATTAAAGGNTAAACGACGCTCTACTGTATTTTTAATTAATATGTTAAGTCATTTTGTTTCACAATGGCCTACCAGCGTTAGAGTGCATAAACCACCAAACACTAGTGCCTCGCTAGTAGGATAGCCATGTGGAGTTTTTGAATTTCCTTCACGTGTTTACCACTTAAATGGAGACCAATATCCCACAGAAACTTCTCCCGGAAGGCACTGTTTCTTGACTGATCGCTCAGGTATTGAATTGCCTTATTACGTGAAATTAAACTTTATTTGATGCTTTAATTAATATCACGTATTTAATTTACAACTTTATTCGTGTTTAAAAAATTTAATTTTTTTCTAAAATGTTTCATAATGAATTTATTATTTCAAGCAATTATTCATTTTACAAATTTTTATTTTCATAGTAGTTTCTTATATGAAAAGGAGAGTGACGAACACGACCAGGATATACATACATCTTAGCTTTGCTAATTTTATCAGGAGTTACATCATAAATGTGATCAAATTCTCTGTTTCTTCCTTAATGCTGGGCTTGACTTATACTTAATGCTGCAAGGATAAGTAAAATTGTGAATTTCTCAATTATTTCTTTCGCTATGACTAAATCGGATGACTGCAGAGAGTTTTTATATATTCAGTTATCGTAATCATAAATGCTTACCAGTAATTGAATACAAAATTATTACGTATAAGAATATTTTTCTTGGAAGCAATCTGCAATTTTAAGTGATCGGATAAATATGAAATTTATATTAATTTTATATAAAAATAATTTTTTTATATTAAAATTTCAGATATTATAAATATAATCTTTGTATATTGAAGAAAATTGAATATATTTTAATCAAAATGAAATTTTATATACAATTCACCGTTATAGATTGTGTATTTGTAGAAATTATTTTTCTTTGTTATAAATAAATACTTAATATATTAAAGGAAAAAGCACGTTATAAACCAGGCTTGGCGAATCTTTAACTCCTCCTGTTATTTACCAATAGTAGTCATAATTATGTTTCAAAATATTCATACTAAAATTTTAATATTAAAACAATACTTTTAACAAAAAAATTGAAAATAATAAGCTGCACATAAATCATAAAAATCTAAAATTAAGATAATTTTTATATTCATATAGTGATATATTAAAGGTATCGTGTAATAAGTAGCGTGCCAGTCAATTGTTCTGACGGCACGAGTGCCAAAGATTTGCCATCTCTGTTGTAGGCTATACCCACCATTTTTCAAGCTTTCTGGTCCTCGTCTCCCATAGTTCGAATATAAATTCCTGCGGATTTTTCGTATAAAAACATTTCCCACATAGAAAAACATACTTTTTAATGACTTTTGAATGGGCATATTTTACATTCGTTTGTCCACCATATCTGACACAAAGTATACGGTTATAGAAACAAATTTCGGTGTTAGACACGTGAAGTAAGCTCAGAAAAGTCTACGTGACCAGCTAAATGGTCAGGCGCAAACCCACCATCAACTACCAGGTTCAGTGGTTTTATTCACTCGGTTCAGTAGACAGAGAAGTGATTAATAAAGGGAAATTCATAAATTCAATAAGACCCTTCTAATGACAGAATGTTTACACATGTTATGTGGATCAATTCTTGCAATTTCGTGAGAATCAGTAAAATCTTATTCAAAAATTTCTAATGCATATATCTTTTTATGAAATATCTTAATTAAATTATGCATTGTAGAATAACTAAAAGTTGCATAAACTATTTTATTTCATAATGAAATTTTTACACTTTAAACTATTATTTTGTGGGTGTAACTAATTTGCATAAACTACATGTGCAACTTTTATTTCACGTGTCTTTTTTAAGTGTACATTCCTGAGTGCCTCATGTAGACTGGGCACATTTGTGCATAATAATCATTTGGATTTCATGCTTATTTTAATATTCAGACATTATAAAATAACTGTTAAATTATTCATATCGTAAATGTATTCTTTAATATATTCCATAATTTTTTAATAAAACAAACCGAAAAATTTTCAGAAAATCGAGTTTTGACAACATTTTCTCATGAGAAGAATCAATTAAATTACACTAAATTTCGGTTAATGTAATAAAAATTTATTAAATTATATATAATTATATTTTATTAACATTTTAATGCATTTAAAATTTATTGAATATTTTATAACACACTTAAATAACAGAAATATGCAGGAATTCTCAATAAATCCGAGTATTCCTCTTGTAAAACTCAAGCGAAATTCCTTATTCATATCATATTTTAACTCGTAAACTCGTCATAATGATTTTATTGTTTCGTAATATACGGCAAAACAAATGGATGATTTTCTGTGGAAAATAAATTACACATATTACATATCTTTTATTCTTATTTCCAAAAAAATAATATTTAAACTGTTGAAAAATATATTTACTTTAAAAATTTTGAATGAGATATTTACTCTTCGGTGGCTTCCATTATACTTCTATATAACTGTCTTATAGCTTCTAAATATTTTTCAATTATGTTCTTCATTTCATCTATCTTCTCTTTATCAATCTTAGAATTATTCGCTTCGTCAGCTACATAAAAAATAATAATAATTAAATTTATAATAATTATTTACAAAAATATCTCATAAAGTTTTGTACTCTACATTATTCCTCAAGACCTTAAGCCAGTTACAAAGAGAAGAGCAATTAGATTACCATGAGGGGAGGATATGTGCATTCACTTAAACGGCACTTACGTATATACCATGCCTTATTTCTTCGCCTAAGAACTTTACAGTCACTCTTTCTAATTGCCAATAAGGTCGACTAACACGATTGAACTCCTCCCCTCCCATGAACTCCCATGAAAAATAACTTCCTCACACCATAAATTATCGAGTGTAGAGCGGGTTGGAATCAGAATCTTAATAAACTAATACCTTACAATGCGTAAAACGAAGAAAATTTCATTATCAAATTGGAAGTTATCAAAGAACTTACCATATTCACGAACTCTTAGGTTTGATGTTATGTAGTCTCTATTTTCGAATGGTAGATAATTTTCCCTGTATGAGGAAACAAAATCATTTAATATAACATTCCTGTTATTGTTTCTGTAATAATTATAAGCTTGAGATGAATAAATTCCTATTAGCAGGTTTAACAGTAGTAATGTTTTCATGATCACTTCTTAACGTTTTCTGTTAGTCGTCTAAAAAACGGGCTTTTATATATTACATTCGATGAAATTAAAGATTAAAATAAAGTAACTCGAGATTCTATATTTCTTTATTAGTAAAACTATTTCTAAGTATATAATTCGAGTTAATATTAATTACGTGATCTATCCAACATTTTCAGATTTATTGAATAATATATAATATTACATTTATCACTGATTTTAGTTTCTTTTGTTATAAACCTTCCTAAAAGAGATCATCTTAGTCTGATGAAGTATGACCATTCGCCAAGTATATCTGATAGTTGTGGTATTCTTGCTAATAAGAGAAGTAGAGCCTCCAAGGATGTAAATACGAATGCGAGAGGATGGAAAGTTCTCGAGTATTGTATGGATAATGACCTAATAATTCTAAATGGTAGAGCTTGTGGTGATGAAGAAGGAGAATTTACTTTTGTTTCTAATCAAGGGTCTTCAGGGATTTGGGAATAGTTACTCCTTTTGTGTGGAAATGTATTAAATGTTTTAGAATAGAGAGTTGTTTTTGGTCTGATCACTGCCCGATAGTACTTTATTTGGAAGATTCTGTTATAGATTCCTTCAGTGGTTCTGGCATTTGTTACGAGAGGATTTTCTGGGACAGTGATCGGCTGGAGTCGTTGTCTGTTGATTTGAAACACTGCTTGGTGCAGACCCCTAATTTATCTCTGCTGGAGATTAGTAAGGTGATATTGGATTGTGCTAAAGTGAAGGGATTGAGTCAAAAGAAAAAAAACTATGGTTGGAATAAATGGTTGGTTTGACTTAGATTGTCGATTAATGATTAAAGGCAGAAATAGAGCTTGGTTAGAGTTCAAGAAAAATGGTTTGGTGGCTCAGAGGAGAGTTTTTGTGTTGTACCGAAGTTTGGTAAAGAGATTACGTTTAGCAAAGAGGAAAGAATTTTGTAAGGATAAATTTTTATTAAAAAATAATAGATTATTTTGGAATTTATGTAAAGCAAGAGGAAATTGTGTTAGGGTACAATATTAGTTTACTAGATTGATTTATCAATAGTTATTTCTTCTCCCTTTATGGCTCTGACAGACCATATAATGTTGATGCTTTTAATGACTGTTTGACTTGGACGAACGAAATATTGGATTCGTATATTTCGGAGGAGGAACTGAAAGACGTTTTAAGTAAGTCGAGTGTTGGTGGTGCTCCGGGAATAAATGTTATTCCTATTGAATTTTGGAAAATTAATAATATTTTTCTTTATTTATTAGATAATTTTAATAAGATTTTGAGAACTGGTGTGATTCCAGATGAGTGGAAGAGTTCTTTATTGGATCCGGTGCTTAAGGGTTGCTCGAGGTCAGTACTGAAAAATTATAGAGGTATTTCGTTATTGTGTTGTGTTTCTAAGATTTTTTGTCAAGTTTTGTATTATAGGTTAATAAGTTGCTTGAATATGAGAGATATTCTGTCAGACAGTCAGGTCGGTTTTCGTACAGGTTATTCGACTGTTGACAATATTTTTATTTTGTACACTATTATTTCTAAGACATTAAGTAGGAAACGGCGTAATGTTTATGCTTGTTTTATAGATTTAGCATCAGCATTTTATTTTGTTGATAGGAATTTATTATGGAGGAAATTATTAAAGTTTGGTTTAAGTTTTAAATTTGTCTCTTTATTAGCAGAGTTATATAGTGGTTCGACCGTAAGGATTAAATGGAGGAATCGTTGTTCTCAGCCTTTCTTTTCTGACACGGGTGTTAGACATGGTTGTATTGTAAGCCCTATTCTTTTTAGTTTATTTTTAAATGATTCATTGAATTGTATTAATGATCCCGGAAGGAAGATATAGATGTTGGTGGCGTTTCTGTTAAGATATTGGCGTATAAGGATGACGTGGTAATTGTGGCGGATTCTCCGAGATCGTTACAAAGGTCGATTGACCTTTCAGATAAATATTTAATTAAAGGATAACAGTTTACAATGAAATCTCTCAAAATCTGAAATTGTGGGTTTTCGAAATGGTGGCAAGGCTTCTAAGGCTGAAAATGTGGTTCTGAGGTGTTCTAATTTCGGGTGTATCGTAAGTATTTAGGTGTAATTTTTAAAAGTAATGATTATTTTAATACTCGTGTGAGATCTTGTAGAGTTAAATCTTACACACGTGAAAAATCATGGAAAGCTCCACGTTGGTGAAGTGCCAACGCACGATTAATGTTCAGCAGTGTTTTCCACTCAGGCACTGGTGAGTGCCAGAAGTTACTTGCTACGTCAGATATGAAGCTGTAAGTTGTTCTGTGGAATCGCTACCTAATTGTGAAATTCTTTTCAAGTACGGCCTCATTCCCTGCCGTAGTAACTGCCCACATTCTCAATACAAGTGTTATTTGATCACTATCGCGAATAACCTTTAAAATGTAAACGATGAAAAGCAAGAATTCTCTTGAGCATATTTATTTTTATTCTCGTTACCTGAATAAGTAAACAATTACAGAATATCTGAATAAATAAAATAAAACTGTAATATTGATTAAAAAGCATAGATAAATAAATATATAGATAGAATGGAGTTTAAGTAGGTTAAGAATCACTGAAAGGCTAGATGAACATTCTGATAGATAAAGGATACGTATTCATATATTTTTACTATATTTTAATACATTCAAAGCTGTTAAATTTTGGTATAATAATTCGTAATATAAAAATTTTTTAAATAAAATCTTGTAAAAGATGGCGCCACACGCATTTTTAACTTTTTTTTCCAGAAAAATTGGTTGGTGAATTTTTTTATAGCAGCATCCAAACAAGAGCAATGGCTAATTTCATTTACTTCTTTAAATTTGCGACATATTAAACGGAATTAATTAAGTTTCTACTGTTGACTAGTCCTACAAATCCTATTATTTATAATTAAATATTTATAACAAATCAACTTACCAGTAGCTGATTGTTTATATATTAGGTAGTTTTGAGCTAATCGGGCTGCAATTTGAAAACATTGTAGACCTATAAATTCCCACTGTCATTCATTGTCTGTCCGTCAGTCTTTCCTTAATCTCGAGAACGGAGTTACGTAGATGAAAGTGCAGACCAGGTAAACGTAGAGGCAGGGAGAACGGATTAACTTCCTGTGTAATCCAAAATTCAACGCCATGCTTTCTTTATTAATAAAAATATTTCTGAGAAGTTTACATTTGGAACTAATACTAATGTCGTGCTCGATTAGACATTTATAATATTATTTAGAAAATTTATGATTAATTTTATTTTTCTCGCTTTATATTCCATTTGAACAATACGTGCTGTTGAGATATTTAACAGAATATTAAATATTCTAATTATAGAATTATAGAAATTAATTTAAAAAATGCACTAATTAAATTAATATACGGTTTCATTTAAGTTTTAATACTTTAAAGAAGAAACTTCGATTGTATCTTCCAATACAGATGGATTCGTGCAGCAATGGTGAACTCGTAAATCGCGCTTCAATTTTAACGATTAGAAAGTGTTAAATTAATATCAAAACTGTGCACATGTATTGTGAAAGAGGGATCCTAAAGCTGACGTAAGAACTCTTAATTATCCTCAGAAAAATTGCCATCAAATAAGCAACAAAAGATTTTCCATTCACTAGAATCTCGCTTAGACCTATCAGAGAAACAAGAGTGCCCGATTACTGAGACTGGGTTTAGCAAATCTGCATTGTATTTGTTTCCATTTCTATGCGATTTCTTTCCTAACTGTTAATAAATACAAAATAATTCATGAACGTCGTAAAATTATAAGCCTTTAATTCAATGGCATACAATTAACCCTCATTTATAACAGTTTGAGGTAATGGGTTGTCCACGTTGCAACGATGAACGACAAAAGCGAATACAGTCGACCCCCTATAACACTGTTGATAATTCCGTTTTATATGAATTCCATGTTGTACGAGTCACTTAGATTTTACAAATACCTATGCTGGGCTGTGAACGGCTCACGTATTTGTAAAATCTAAGTGACTCGTACAACATGGAATTCAAATAAAACGGAATTATCAACAGTGTTATAGGGGGGTCGACTTGTATTGATATTCCAGAGGCGTGAAAAGAGAACATTACCGAAAACATTAATACATAAAAACACTACAAACAGTACAGTTTCTTTCTCCATATTGATTTATATTTAATTTCATTTAGAACACTTAAAGCAGAGAAAAATATATTTTAATATCCTTTAACCAAAAAATTATTCATTTATTTAATTAAAATACAATAGGTTCTTCTTATGTAGCATTAACATTTAATAACGCTCATAGAAAGTTTAATTTTAAACTTAATTCATAACTTTTTTTTCGAATAAATATAACTGAAACTTTATATTTTGATTAAAATTTATATTTTAATTTTAAAGCTTGTGTGTTTATCATTCGGTCACGTTTTAGTAATTTAATATTCTTTTAAAATGCTAGGAAAAAATGTATAATGTTTAATAAATTTAATCAGTGCAATAATGTTAGTTATAAAATTAAATAAAGTATCTAATATTAACCGCCATTTTTATTATATTCATAGAATTTTCAGTGCAATTTTTTTTTTGCCAGAATACGGATGATACTTCTACGTCAGTTTAACATCATTCCTATGTCTGTTGTAAAGGAAAAGTGAAAAACGACGTCAGATTGACGTAATAGTGTATACTATTAACACGAATCGCATCTATTAACTCGTGTTCATCATCTTCAGAAATTTCACGCTAACATTGGGGAACTGCATAAAACCACTGATAATGATCAGTGGGTTTCATCATAATGATCACTGGTAGTTCATCACGGGTTTTCGTCTCACCAACGGGCTGGCCATGTGAATTTTTTTGGATTTTCTTTACTTGCCTACCATCTAAATCAGTGTTTCTTGATCCTTTTAGTGCCGGCACCATTGAATCTCAAAATACAATTTCGCACCACTTCAAAATTGTGTTCAAGATGTTAAAGATACAGAGGGTAGTAGTGAGGGTACCAGACGTAGTCGTAGCTTTTTCAGTTTGT